TGGCTCAAGTGGTAGAGTGCTAGCCTTGAGCTGAAGAGCTGAGGGACAGTGCCCAGGCCCAGAGTTCAGGCCCCACGACCGGACCAAAAAAAAAAACAACTCATAGCTTTTAAATCATTGGAGGTTTTTCTCAGGGGATATGCCTACTTTTTCTTTTTTTTGCCAGTCCTGGGGCTTGAACTCAGGTCCTGAGCACTGTCTCTGAGCTTTTTTTGTTCAAGGCTGCACTCTACTACTTGAGCCACAGTGCCACTGTGCCACTTCTGGCTTTTCTGTGTATGTGGTACTGAGGACTCGAACCCAGGGCTTCATGCTTGCTAGGCAAGCACTCTACCACTAAGCCACATTCCCAGCCCCCACTTTTTTCTTGAAGGACCACATAACAAATACTTTCATGTTTTGAAGGTCAAGAGACAAAACTGAAGAAAGCTATTATTATGTAGAGACTTATATAACTATTAGATGTAATCACACAACTGCAACTATTCTTAGCTCATATGGCTGGATAAGTTTGGCCCATGGGCTAGTTTGTCAATGCCAAATTCCTTTGCTAAATTCCCTCCCTTTCTTTGCATCATTTGGAAAAATCACCACCTTTTGCAAACAAGAGTCATTTTGCTCTAGACTATGATGACTCATTAGTGACTTGAACCATGACAAGAATCACACCCACACGGTGTTAACGCGGGGTGTGATTTATATATTTGTTATCTGATGTTCAGATATGTCTTCACCTTTGCTATCCTTCTTACTGACCCACAAAGCTTCCAGAGGCCAGTATCTAGTGTGTTTAGCCAGTTTTGTACATTCTCAGCGAACGCAAGCATAAAATGGAATATGACTAATAACCAACTCCAAGGGAAAATAACCACTGCCTATACAAATTCAACAGGACATAGAAAAAAGCAAAGGGGGTAGGGGGAGGATGGGAAGGGATGGGAAGGGGAAACAAAGAGGAGGCAACAATGCTTGATAAGAAATGTACTGGTTATCTTGCCCATGTAATTGTAACTCCTCTGTACAGTATTCTCACAATTAAAAAAAAAGAAAGAAAGAAAAGCAAAGGGGAACACACACAAAATCCATACTTTACAACTAAGCCATATGTAAAAGCTTTTATTTCATATAAGATTTTACTGGTTTTCTTAAGAAAAAAGGAAAAAATCATAATTAAAAATAGAAATAAAAATGCAAAATAAAGGTAACAAACATTTTGATTCAGACTATAAAAGTAGTGATCATTGAGGAAAGCCAAGAAATAGAGAAATTGATTATTCTACTGATTCTTCCTTCATGTTAAAATTTTCTAAAGGAATGACATTGATCAAGATACATTATACTCAATCTGATTTGTGGAACTGAAATCTCTTGTACACTTACTAATTTTTTTTTTGCGAGTCCTGAGACTTGAACTCAGGGCCTGGGCTCTGTCCTTGAGCCTCTCTTTGATCAAGGCTAGCGCTCTACCACTTAAGCCACATCCCCACTTCCAGCTTTTTCTGTTTATGTGGTACTGAGGAATCAAATGCAGGGCTTCATGCATGCTAGGCAAGCACTCTACCACTAAGCCACATTCCTAGTCCTAATAATTTTCTAAAGAAAAAATTATTGGAGCTAGAGTTATTGAAAATACAGTAATGATCTTTTGGGGCTTAAAAAAAAAAAAGACAGTGACATCTTGGTTATGACAAAAAGAGCTGAGCATGGTTAGTACACCCTGTAATCCCAGCATTTGAAAGGCTGAGATGGGAAGAGTCCACGTTCCAGGCCAGCCTGGTCTACATAAGACCATGTCAAAAGACATAAAAAAGCAAAAACAAAAGCAACACCCAAACCCAGAAGGAAGAAAGAACTTTACCAGGCCGTACTTGTAAAGGTCAGGTAGCACAATAATTTCATGGTTTCAAAACACATGTTTAGTAATAAGCAAATAAGCCACTAAAGTCTTTCCCTTTGTGATGCAATATTAAAGTGCTATCAATGTAATTTGTAAAGTTAAAAGTATTTGATCCCAGTGCTCGTAATTCATACTTGTAATCCTAGCTGCTCAGGAGGCTGAGATCTCAGGATTGTGGTTTGAAGCCAGCCCCTTACGACTGTTACCTTCACTTAACCACCAAAATTGCCAGAAGTGAAGCTGTGGTTCAAGTGGTAGAGCACTAGTCCCGAGTATAAAAGCTCAGGGACAGTGCCTAGCCCAAGTTAAAGCCCCAGGATCAGCATACAAAAAAATGAGGTTTAATTTTGCTTTTACAAAAAACTTGACACCATTAAAACAAACATGATTGTTTTCTACTGATTAAACTGCAGAGCTAACAATAATATAAAAATATGTAAAAAATATTGATTCATAATTACCAGATATACTAATACTCATGTAGCTAGTATAAATCTGATGATTAAAAAAATAGTTTCATTAAACAACGAAGTACCAAAATAATCCTAGGTAAAAACCAGCAATGTCTATACTTTAGGCTTCTTGTTAGGTGGGTCTTGAAGACTAAACTTTGGAATTTCACCAGAGGGAGTATATGGAATTCTTTTTGAAGACACCTTTTTGCCAATCGTTTCAATCTGAAGAGAAAAATAT